ACCATATGCTGCGGGCAAAACATGATCTTCGAGCACGGTTTCTACGTAAGTTTGAGCACAACCGCTGGGGTACAACGACGAGGTCTGTGCGCTCGTCCAAACTAACTCCGTCCCAAACATCACAGAGCAACATCCAAATTTGTCATATTCTTGGACTGCCGCTGCACTGTATCTCTCGCCTGGGCGTCTGTAAACACGGAGACGACCATCGCAACGTGTTAGACGGAATCGTGATTCGTCAGTAAAAAGCACCGGCCGCCAATGTCGAAGCTGCCAATTAGCGTGGTTTTGCGCGAACTGTCGGGGAGCTAGTCGATGTTGGATAGTTAGACGTATAGCCCGATTTGGTCGGCGTGATCTCAAATTGGCTTATATCAACCTATTTCTTATCGTCTGGTCGGAAATGTCTACACCAGTAGCCGTCTTTAGTGTATTTTGAAGATCTCTTGCAGTTGTGGTGCGGTCACGTAAAGCGCAGTTGACGATGTGGCGATCTTGCAAACGTGTAGTTTTTCTCTTTCGACCTTGACCACGCCTCCGTGAGTATTCCCCCGTCTCACGGTATCGCTTCCAAAGGCTGTAGATAACAGAAGGGGCTACTCCTAGATCCTTTCCTACATAACGCATAGTTCGACCCTCTTCCAGCAACACTCGCTCTCAACTCGCTTCAATGAATAACAATACTCCAAAGACTCATTTCCATCTCTATTAATACTCAAAATACCTGAAAAACCACTTCAAAATGTGTTTTCTGTGATTAGAAAGTAAAGTAAATTCAATGGCGTCACTTTGTTTCTAGGTGTTTAAGAGGGAGCAGAGGAAAAATTCCTAATCTTCGATTTGATTTTAGAGGGGTATATCTACTTTAAAGTTAAAATAAAATATTGTATGAGTAGCTACACGATATATTCAAGCATAGACATTAATCAGAAACAAAACAATAAAGTTTCCTCGATAGATAAAAATCACGAAACGACCTCTAATTTTCAAATTTTTTCGATTTATCCTCGAAATGCTACAGGTTATTAGGACAAAAATTAGATAATTAATTATATTTGTGCATGATCGATAACGTCGCTACGGATTTTTTTAAATCCCTTTAGTTTTAGAGTTATTCCGCTAAAACGAATTTGGTACTTTTAGTGCGCAAAATTCAACATCTCCTGTCGCGTGTCACGCGAACTTCAGGCATATATCTGTTTCACAAATTTGGGCGGAGCCAACGTCAAAACTTTTTTGGCATGCTCCCTCTTAACTAGACTATTGGCCATTTTATTGAGTACTACTAACGAAAAAGCCGATGCTCCTTTCTTTATAATTGCCTCTACATTATTTAGTGGCCAGTTATAATTAAAACTTTAAGCAAAAAGTTTAGTTCTACTTGAACGTTTCGTTCCCCTAATTGTTTTGAGCAGTGTATAATTGTTCCTTTTGATCTCTTTTTTATGTTATCAAGTGACGGGACGAACAAGTCATGCACCTGGTGATAAGCGACACCTCTGTCTATAACAATTGCAGCTCCTCTCAAACCTCGATCGTAATGATCTGAGGTCAAAACGTTCCTCTGCTGACTTTCTTATTACATTTAAATATTATCTAAACATTTTTGTCACATTGTGTTCTATTTTTTACTTTGTGGTATTGCTGTATAATTAATTTTTTGATTAGGTATTTTATAGCTATAATGTTTTATGTGTATATTATAAAATAACCAATAGTTTAATTGCGTTGTGTTCTTGCATTTATTTTAAAATACAATTTCTTTATTCCCGACTTCTAAAAATATACAAACAGGCAAAAATTAAAACGTAAAATTATACTAGCAAAGTCCATGAATGGCTCTCCGTTGATTTTATATTTATTGGGTCAGCTTTCGTTATCCTTCTTCAACTTCTTACTTCTTTTGTGTATTTCTGTTGTGTTGTAAAGTGCATCTTGTGTTGTATAAACACAGGCATCTAAGTGGTACTGCTTTTTTATTATTTATCTACCTAATTAAAGTCAGGTTTATTAGACAGAATGTTGATATATTTCTGTCTGTCACTTCACTGTGAGTTATGCGAGTTCGTTGTTTATTAACAACCACAAACAGCGATTACCTGCACCTGCGGGCTATTTAAACCACGGGAAGTGTCGTTGATGCGTTCTAAAGGTCACGCTTGGTGAAGATGAATGTTTTTTGTTTTGAATGTTTCTTATTTTCAATAAGAATATGTTTATGTTTAGAACAACAAGAGTCTAGATTCCACACAATTATGATTCAAAGTGTATTCAATAGGATTTAAGTTTATTTGAAAAGAGCAATCCCGTCCTATAGAGTTTATTGCTCGTCCTTCTCAGGGAGGTCAACGTAGTGAGCGAGCAGTAGCTTAAAAATGATGTTTTCAAGTGTAAAAATTTTACCTATCGGTGCCTTACTTTCTCAGGGTCGTATTCCAGAACTCTACTCAATGCTCAAGACAGGACTTGAGCAGACTTGAGTATGATTTGAAGCACTGGAAATACGACCCTAATGGCAAGGACTTGAGTATGATTTCTAGTGCTTGAAATCATACTCAAGTCCTGACTTGATCATTTAGTAGAGTTCTAGAATACGATTCTTAGGGTCATATTCTAGAACTCTACTCAATGCTCAAGTCAGCATTGTAATTGAAACACAAGCACTGGAAATACGACCCTAATGGCAGGGACTTGAGTGTGATTTCTAGTGCTTTGAATCATACTCAAGTCCTGACTTGAACATTGAGTAGAGTTGTAGAGTACGACTCTAAGGGTCGTATTCCAGAACTGTACTCAATCCCCAATCCGAGTATGATTTGAAGCACTGGAAATACGACACTAATGGCAAGGACTTGAGTATGATTTTCAGTGCTCACTGCAATACACAAGTCCTGATTTGAGTATTGAGTAGAGTCTGGAATACGACCCTAAGACTCGTATCTTCTAAAGAGTAATTATTCAGGAGGTGGCAAAACTTTATATTTATTTTAAATTTCTTATAAAGGGTGTTAATTTGGACGCATTAATATAAGAATAGGTAATAGCCAGTGTGTGAATATGAAGGAAATGTGATGTGAAATCAACCAGCAACATTTGTATATAGAATCCATTTTTTGTATTTCAAAAACTTTATGTTCTAAGATACGAGTTTGTGAAAGTAAGACCACGCTATGGAATAAATGATGAAAAAAAAGAATAATTGTGCCTTAATTGAAAGGACGACGGTTCGCAAAGCGATGGCAGCTTGTAGCTATGTGGCTCTGACTACGTGATTAGTTTTGTGGATATTTAGTAGCAATACCACATTTTGTAGGTAGTGCTGCCAATATTAAGAATCGATACTACCTTAGCTCGAATTAAAATTTTTTCCCGTACAAATAAGGTTTATTTTTGCCTGTGTCGAGTGGCAGGGACACTGGCTTTATTTCAGAGTTTATTTATTTACAAACGAAATTAAATCCATTTGAAAAATGTATATCGTATAGTGTACATGTTCCATTATAAATAATAATAAATGTCTCAAAAAATCCCAAACAGACATAAGACTGCAGTACTAATTAATATGTTGTAATTTATTCTAATTTCTATTAATAATTAATAATAAGTTAAACTTAATAAAAATTCATTCAATAAAATAATTTGTAAAACTTAA